ATAGTGTCTGTAGAACAGACTGTGGTCTGACTGGCAGACAGACGTTCTCCTCTAACCTGCTTCATGTGTTCACATTGTGATTTGTTTGTTTACTCAACAGAGAAAACCACAGTCATAACTGTCGCCATCATTGCTGCAGCCATTGTTCTTGCTCTTGTCCTCGTTGCTGTGATTGGATTCTTCATTTACAAACAGAAGAAAGGTGAGAGGTGTTTAAAGTCGGTGTAAGGAAGGAACAAATTCTGGTATTTTCAGCTTTTTAATTCAGTTTTTTTTTTCCTTGCAGCCAAGCGCCCTCCATCTCGTAAGTAAAACTTATAGTTCTGTTTTTTTCTGACCTCACATGCATTCTGTAGAGTAAAGCGGGTTTATAGATTTTATGCTGAAGACTTTTTCCTGCAGTGTTCGCTGTAAACACAGATTTGTTTCGAGGAGAATGTGGACTAACAGTGTTTCTGAACTTGCAGCTGTGATCAACCCTGAGGTCATGGAGCAACTGAATCCACAAGCCTAAATGACGACAACACGACCCTGAACACAGTGAGTTGAGTGATTTAAACTGTCCAAACATTTATGGTAAATTATTGTGTTTTCTATTTTATGTATTTTTTTCCTCTTTAGGTTCATGGATAGATTTTGGACTCCATTGAGGACTGATGCCACCAGATTCTCCTCTTTTAATCCGGGAATTCATTGGTTATTCATCATTCATATCATAAACAGAATCAGGGTTGTGAATCTAGTGATAGATGCTTATTGATTGAAAGACAAGAAAAGTAAAATTGTACTAAAAACAATGGAAGCATCACAGAGGTCTTCATATATACACATTTAATTGATAAAGATTTGTGTGTTCATCTAAAACTAATCCACCATAGTTACAGTTTATTTCTTTTGGTGTTGGGTTTCTTGTAAAATCAACAGAAAAATACAGACATGCGTTTACAGATATGACATCCATATGTTTTCCTAGAGGCCTGTCGATATGATGACACACGTACTGTACATTGAGATAATGGACATTTAGTAGTTTTCTGTGCAGTTTATATTGAGAGGTCCATTCTTTGGCTGTATTAGATCACAAGGGATAAGACTGCTGATCAACTGGAGACTTGTAGGTGGAAATTCAAGAAATCAAGAAATTCTGTGCTTCTGTGGCTCCTCAAAATAAGTAAAGTGATACTGTAGGTTACACATGCAGTATGAAATACCACAGAGATATTCTCACCTACTGTATATCATATAGTTGTTAACATATCTGTAACATTTTGTGGGTTTTAAGTCATAACCAAAAATATTAATTGTATTGAATATATTAAATACTATATTATTGAATATACTAAATACAATCTGTATGATTTAATATATTAATATCTAATTTTGTTTGTTTTTAAAGTCATATCATTAGCTGCTTGCATTTTGTGAGCTTCAAACATTAAATGAGATTTACACACCTGCACATATTAAGTTAATTAGCCTATTTTTTGATGTGAAGACTAATAATTTAACCTCATGGACAAAACCTCTGGGGCTGAGATCTGTATGAAAACACATTTTATGACTGATGATTTATTGGTTTGTGTTGCATTACCTTTCAACTGATAAATTATAAAATAAATCTTACGCACAAATATAAAAGTAATATTTACATTATGTAACTCAGTTTCTTCAGTAGTACTATGGATATAATATTAGTAAAACACTATAAAACCAGTTATAAGGAATATTGTAGCTTTAACAATCTCACAAAACAGGTTGGGGCTGATTTTCCAGTGGGTTTTTGTTTGTTTGTTTTCCAGCTGTAAGATTTGGAAAGAAGGTTTAGCACTTCCTGTATGTTTGTGAGTGGAGTTTATGAGAGAAGTGGCTCCATCAGATCCTCATTATTCTGTATTTTATTCTTGGTTGACAGTGTTAATAGAACAGTGTTGGCGGCTGGACAACTGAACGAGCCTGGCTCTCAGATGTAACTGCCTACCAAGCCATGTGGCCCAGCCACTGTTTAACCTGAGCAAATGACTTCTGATCAAGGTCGTACAGACCCAAATGTTGTGGACACAATAAATTATTCATCCTAAGCAAGACAGTGTGTGGGAGTTTGTTACGCTTTTGCAATTTGCTGTTTTCTTCTGACGCACCTGTTATACAATCGGGTATGCAGAGTCTTGACATCTTAACACAAAAATTAAATATTATGGATTATCCTAGTTATTTATTAGGACGCCTTTTTGAATTAGTTCAATTTTCCATTGTGTATAAATTGTTTAAAGACTTCTTCACACTGCATGTAGGCTGGTTGTAATGCTTTGGTTTTCCCCTGAGAAACATGTTGCACTGAAATCTGCCTGGCAAATTCTCTCAGGTAAAATTTTTACCTATTTGTTCCCTAATGTCTTGGTAGAAGGTGTGAGTTTATATTTCATTTCACACTGGCTAAAAATGTCCCTATCATCAGACAGGACATTTGTAATATAGTATACAAAAATATATTTGTTTAGCTACTCAGCTTTTTAAAAGGTATTTTTAGATTACAATGAGCAGTGAGGCTGTTCACTGACATTAAATATGTTTATTAGGTTTTATTTTTTACTTAACTTCCCCTAATGTGATGAATACATATAAGCAGTCATGGATTATTATGGTGTTTTGACAAACTGACACCAACAGTAAATCAGGCGACGTCCTCAGTTTAATGGTAGATACAAGCTTTGTCCAGAGGGGGCGCTGCGAACCTGTAAATGAACAGTTATAATCTCAGGTGTTCTGGATCAAAGATGTGACAGATGTTGGTTTGTTTGTGTAACAGTCATGAATAATATGAACCCAGTTGAAGAAATGAGAACAAAGGATTTGAGTTAAATGTCAGTTTCATCAGTTGATCCTAATAAATCCTTTCTCACTGTATAAAGTCAAAAACAGGAAGTGAGGACTGAAGCCGAGTATAAACGATGCCAAAGCAAAATACAAACAGAATCTGGTGTTCAAACATCAACAGAGGTGTTACATTTCTCTTTTCAGTGTCCACAGCTCCAGTCGTCAGTCCAACTGCATTTAACCTGTTGGACAGAGCTGACCTGACCTGGTGCTTGTGTTTAAGAAGCTCTGAGTCTCTTTATGCTTTAGTTATTCTTTTAATTTTAAAGTAAAACACCTAAGTAATTTATTGCTTCATGGAAACTATCTCTTGTTTTTCTGTATCGTCTGTTCAAATAGTAGGTCTAAGTTGTTCCAACACTAAAGTAATGCAACAATACAAACTCACTTCACACACCATAAATAAAATACTATATTTTCAAAAGGATTCTGATGTTTCTGTTTATCTCATTATAGTGTAACTGACCACAGATCTGTTTAAAATAAACTTCCTATGAATCGTTTTTGGCCTCCACAGTCCACACTGAGAAACTTTCTTTCTGCACAGTAGCTGCAGGTTTGAGCCACTGGAGGGCGCACTTCACCACGTTAATTCACTGGAACATCAGTGAAACCACATTTAGCTGTTTTTGTTAACATTTTGATCAGTTTTCAGCCCAGGGCAGCCAGAACAAAAAGAATAAGACACTACAGTATCTCCATAAACCCCAGTATCTAACCTGTATCTCACAGTGACTCTGACCTCCCACAAAATTAAAACGTCTGCACATTTCTTCACATTAACCTATAAAACAAGACCAAAGCAGCATAAATTACAATACTCCTGTCAAATCTGAGTAGAGTTGAGATACCAAAATAGAGACTGCATGTCTCCACACCCCCTTCCACAGGTTGAAATGAGCAGATTTTACTTTCACTTTCGTTCATAACCTCAGCGGCTCAGTTTCACCTGACGTGGCCGCTCAGACTAAATTCCCTTTGGGATAGAGCTTAATGTTGACTCCTCTCCCTGTTTTCTCTGAATTTAAACTTAGAGCTGAAGCTGAAAACGTGCACTGTCTCTGTGTCTCCACAAAAACTACAATAATACCTTCCACCATGAAGACTTTAATCTTTCTGGCTCTTCTGGGAACAGGCCTACACACCTCGACGGCAGGTGAGTTCAACATGTTAAAGTAGG